ATGTTTGCCACATAATCAGGACCTGAGTTCAGTCCTCATGGTGTGGCAATATGTGCTTGTAATATCAGGACTGGGAAGGCAGAGATGGGGATCCTTGGGGCTTCATGACAAGACATTTTGGCCTACATAGGGAGTTCCAACTCAAGAGACATCTGCTTAAAAAACAAGGTAGATGGCGCTTGGTGAATGACACCTAAAGGTAACCTCTGGTCTTCATTTGAGTGTGACGTGTGTGTGTGTGTGTGTGTGTGTGTGAACGTGAACAAAAACACAATAAAGTTACATTCTTGGTTGTCTCATGGACATATTCGTGTGTGACATAATCCAAATCTCACTCATTCATATTCTTAGTTACATTTCTAAAAGTTCTCCACATTTAACCATATGAATAAATTATGTTTAAAGGTGTTTAATTTCTTGTAATAATTGTTGATTAATAAAATGTAATTTACATAATATAAAACTTACCTGACTAAATGTATTAATGCTTTTTATTGTTTGTTGCTTTTTAGTGTGCTTACAGAATTATACAGCAATTACTATAATACAGTTTTAGACTATTTCCTGTTTCCCACACTTCCAAATGACACTTGGTACTCATAAAAAGTAGTTATTTTCTACTCCTGTTCTCTACCCACCCTCCCATTCCTAGGCAACCACTAATGTACTTTGTTTTCCATAGATTTGTGGATTCCAGACTTTGTATGTAATAAGTCATAAAGAATGTGGTGTCTTGTGGCTGGCTTCTTTTACTTAGCAATCATGATTTGAGTTTTATACATGTTATATCAGTTTTGTTCCCACCGCCAATACATTTCTAAATTGTCTTTTTGTGTTAAAACTATTAACTCAAAACATTCAAACAGAATAAAATGAGTAGAGGGAGTTCAGTGGGATGGAGATTATATTGGAATGTGGAATTCCCTTCTTGGTAAGATATGCTGTATGTAAATGGCTATAAAGATGCTTCCTTAAAACATCTTGCTTTCCAACATTGTGCTTAATGGGGATAACTAGTACTGTTTGCACCAGAGATGCTCAAGGAAGGTATTCCTGAAGAAATCCTGTGTAAGCTGAGACCAGTAGAAAGTAGGAATGATATGAGTGAAATTGGCCAGGGGACATTGAGGCAAAAGAATTGAATTGGGATTGTTTCAGACAAGGCTAATATAACAGTATACACAAGTAACCTAACAGCAAAAGTTTTAGGTTTTCCAGGAATAGAAACTGGTCCTATATGACTCAATTTAGATTTGGGTTGTGGAGGAAGGTGAGAAGTGAAGCTAAAGATATAGTGCAATAGGATCATTAGACACTTCTCAGAGGCACCAGTTTTGGAAGAAGCTATCCTGAAGGCAAAGGAAACTGACACAGAAGTTTAGCAGAGGAGCGAATTGTTCCATCAGATTTTATTTTAAAAAGTTGGGCTAGGTTATGCGGCCATCAGCATCTTGCCTATAAATGATAGGGTGTCCATTTAACACAAGAAAACAGAACCTGAAAAGCCAGGTAAAACCATTTGTAACACTGAAACTGCAGAAGATGGAAGAGAAACAAGCATCAACAGTCTAAAATGTTAACGAAATTGTCAGAGTGCTTCAAAGCAAGGATGCTAGGCCAGTGATTGGGAAGAGGATAAGGCTCTCCTTGTAGATCAATGGTTCTCAACCTTCCTAATGTGGGACCTTTTAGTACAGTTCTTTGTATTGAGGTGACCCCAACCATTAGTTATTTTTGTTGCTACTTCATAACTATTATTTTGCTACTGTTAAGAATTATAAATATCTGTTTTCTGATGGACTTAGGCAATTTCTGTGAAAGGTTTGTGACCCACAGGTTATGAACCAATGCCCAGAGGTATCGTGGCCCACAGGTTGAGAACCGCTGATATAAAGTTGTCCCTACCTTGAAAAGAAGGTCTTTAGCCATCATGAATTGCAACCAGCTAACTCACACTCAAATTCAGTACTGTGGAATACTTAAATTGACAATACTACAAAGGAAGTGAACTAAGATTGTTGATCTGTCCTAAATATTGTTACCAAAGGTACTAAAAAACAAAGAACATCTAGAGAACATTCAGGTGACAAGCAGGTGTTTCAACAAGCAGGAATGGTAGCTCAGGCTTTTAATTCCAGGACTTTGGAGGCAGAGGCAGAGGCAGGAGGAGCTCTATGAGGCCAGCCAACGCTTCACAGTGAGACTCTGCCTCAACAAACAAAAAGATGAAGCCAGTATTTGGGAGCCTTCCTTCATCAACAATTACTCTCTTCTCTGCTGATTGTGGCCAGGATGATAATCCACAGGTCTTCCTATCCCACCATTGTCAGGTTATAATAAGTAGGTTAACAATAATGGCCTCATCCATCTTTTGTTTTTATTTCTGTTTTCTGCTGGGTAGCCTGGAACTTGCCTGGAATAGGCTAGGTGAGCCCCAGGGTCACCTACATGCCTCTCCCTTCCCACTGCTGACACATGTGTTACCTTGCCTGGATTGTTTTACTTGGGTTTTGGGGATCAAACTCGGGGCCTCAGGCTTGTAAGGCAAACTGTCTCCCCACCAGCACTTTTTTTAAAGACAATTTTCAAATGGTACTTAAATTTTCCGGCCCTATTCCCACATTAAATACTAAGTTTGATATTTCCTTTCCTCTGCTGTAAGTACACCTTTTGGGTACAGGCAATATGTATTGGCAATTCAGTTTTGGTGGTTTTAAAGTCCATTGTTTGGGAAGTAATTCCATCATAATCATACATATATTCATACTTACATTATGCTGGTATTTTGTTCGTTGTTTTCAAATGAATGGCTCTACTTTTTAACAGTATTCTGAAGAACTAACTTGGGGAGCAATGCTACAAATTAAGTATAATTATAAATCTACCCTAGAACATTTGCTGTTTGTTTTAGTTAAATTCAGTTATTTTGTTCTTACACTTCTTGACTGTTTTCAGTGTGATGAATTCTGTTCATTCATACTCTGAAAATTTTTTGAGATTAAACAGTCATCCTGTGTAAGTGTGTACCATGTAGACACAGATTGGCTGTGTGTTAGGTTTTAGCCAGATCTACCTATCTCCTTATAAACAGTGTGGAAGAACAACTCCCCATGGGCTCCATGGACTTTAGGGAGGAGAGAAAGGGTTGAGATAATATGCCTTACTCTTTGGAGTTTTGTTTTTTGGGAGTGAGGCTTACTGGACCTCTGACTTAACTTTAATAGGATAATGAAGTGTCTTTGTTAGGATTTTTATTGTTGTGCTAACACCATGACCAAAATCAATTTAGGAAGGAAAGGGTTTACCTCATGCTACAGTATATAGCTCATCATCCAAGGAAGTCAGGGCAGGGACTGGAGGTGCAGAAACTGATACAGAGGTCATGGAGGGGTGCTGCTTACTGTTGCTCAGCTAGTTGTTTGCTTCTTTGTATACTATTCCGGACTTTGGGCTCAGTGCTAGCACCATCCACAGTGGGCTGGGCTCTCCCAGATCAATCACTAAGAAAATGCCCCACAGGCTTGCCTTCAGGCCAACGTAATAGGGGCATTTTCCCAACTGAGGTTCTGTCTTTTCAGTTGGCACTAGCATGTGTCAAGTTGATGTAAAAACTAGTTAACACTGGAGGTAATGTCAGTTTTTAGGCAAAAACTGGCAGCACATCTCAATTTATCTTGGATTTAATCTCATCATCACATTGACTTAAGTTTACCAGAAATCTTTAGCCTCCCTCCTGAGTCCTGAATCCCTCCCCCATGCCTCCTTGATTAAGTCATATGTTATGACTTAAGAAATTTGTATTGTCTACATAGTGAGTTCCAGGCCATCGAGGACTACAGAGTGAGACATTTCCTAAAAAACAAAGTTGTAAAAATGTTTGTGTTGACGTAAATTGTTTACCTTGCAGAGATTGAACTGATAGAGTCAGTATGTTTACCATGGTTTTTTAAAGCGGGCAGCCAAGATGAAGATTGGTTACAGACATCTGTGGTACTTATGTTGGAAAGAAAATGAATGCATTACTTTTTGAATTGTTAAGTTTGAACTACAGGAGTCATTTACCTTACATGCTCTTGATCATCTTTGTCAAAGCTAAATGGTATTACTAGACTTAAACTACAGAGAGAGGAAAAAAGAGAGGGAATGGGAAAGTTTGTGTTATTTAAAGTAGTTTGTCTAATATGGTATTGTTAAAAAAAAAAAAAGGTACTTTACCAGAACATCACTTCATGCTATTGGCTAAATTTGATGAGAGGAAAATGTGAGAGTGTAAGCTTTTTCTTGAGATATCTGTGTAAATACATCAAAGCAAGATGTGTTCCCTTTATAAATTCCACTCAATGCACAAATGATCCTCATTTAAAAAAATCAAATATCTATATTTTTCATAAGGAACTACACCTGAAGTGATTATTACAACCAGTATACTCTGGACTGTTCTGAAGAACTCCAGTGTGGAGATTAAGTATACTACCCTCTCATCATTTTCCTTCTGTGTGCCTCTGCAGGACCTTTCAAATGCTGTCCCTTTCTTCTTTCCTAAAACAAAGTAATCTCACACATGGTTTATGGTAGATCATTAAAGATATGAAATGCTGGTCTTCTCGGACACACCAGTGTTTGAAAAGATTACCCAGTAGTACTGCACATGGCCAGGTGTGTGTGTTCCCTAGAAAGGGAAAAGGGGGTGGAGCCCCTCCCGCTTCCCCACTTGATTTAAGGTCATGGTTCTAATCAATAGTTGCCATGCCACATATTTCTTCATAGCTCTAGTCACAGGAAAAAAGGTAGAATCATCTTGAGAATCCCTCTTTTGGGTTCATTTTGGGGTTGAGGTTGGGATAATACTGCTTGCCAGAATTATTTTCTTGCACATTGAATAGTTGTGACTTTAAACATATCTATCACTTACCACCCTCTCTTTGAACCAGTACAGAAAGACCCTACTTCATAGTCCTGTGCTCAGTAACAAATGTTGCCCTTTTGTGTTTTTTTTCTAGGCTATACACATCACCAAAGAAAAAACTCACACCAATGCAGAAATCTGTTAGTCCGTTAGTTTGGTGCAGGCAAGTTTTGGATTACCCAAGTCCTGATGTGGAATGTGCTAAAAAGTCTCTTATTCACAAACTTGATCAAACTATGTCAGGTATGTCTATAATTTTACTTGTGAATTCATTCATTTTCTTGGCCTGAACGAATATACAATGAATGTGCGTGTTTGGGCAGGCAATTCTTGGCTTGATAGCCTTTCTGAATCTTACTGTATACCATCATGAAGGCTGGATTCATGTAATAACAATTTTTAAAAGTCTTAGTGTCACCTATAATTTTGGAGATTATGAATTTTAATTTTTCTAATAATGACCTAAAATCGTTTCTAAAATGAAAAATGTTTCTCTTGCATTATCTAAAATTATCCTACATACCACACTTTGGTAAATGGATTGTGCTAAAGTATACTCGTAGAGGCCCAAATGGTACTACCTCCTCACTAGAGAACTTGATTGTTTGGCTCCTATGAGCTCACATCCCTCATCCCAATGAAGAAATGATAATATATGTGAAAGAGTCTAGCACAGTGCCTGTTATTCATTTCCCTTCCTTCTCAGATGTTGCTTATCTTTTTTGTACTTAATATTTTAATTGCCTTTATACTCTTTTAACAGCATTCATTTAAACCTTACAAAGTGTGTGTGTGTGTGTGTGTGTGTGTGTGTGTGTGTGTGTGTGCGCGCGCGCGCGCGTGCATGTGTGCACGCTTCCAGACAGGATTTGTCTTTGTAATGGCCCTGACTATCCTGGAACTCATTCTTTAGACCAGGCTGGTCTGGAACTCACAAGAGATCCACCTGGTTTTACCACTGCAATGCTGGGATTAAAGGCATATACCACCATCGCCTGGCTCCCAGTCCTCCCTTTAAAAAAAAAAAAAAAAATTATTTGTGTATATGAGTGCTCTATTTGCATGTATGCCTGCATGACAAAGAGGTCAGCAGATAGAACAGGGCATCTGATTCCATTATAGGTGGTTGTGAGCCATCATGTGATTGTTGGCTATTGAGCTCAGTACCACTAGAAGAGCATCCAGTGCTCTTAACCACTAAACCATCTCTCCAGCCCTATCTTGGTCTCTTTTAAAACTCACTATTTATGAAGTAGGAATTATAAAGCATGATAAGTTATTCTGAAGTTTTCTTTTCCTTTTTGTATATATGTGTATTTGTATGTGTTATTCATGAGGGTGTGTGTGCATGTGTATTGGTACAGGCGTGTGTGTGTGTGCGTGCGTGTGTGTGTGTGTGTGTGTGTGTGTGTGTGTGTGTGTGTGTAAGCCAAAGATTGTCATTGGGTTGGCTTAGTTAGGGTATCTATTGCTGTGATAAAACATCATGCCAAAAGCAGCTTGGGGAGGAAAGGGTTTCTTTCAGCTTATAGTTCCCATCACCAAGGGAAGTAGGGCAGGAACCTGGAGGTAGGAGCTGATGTGTAGGCCATGGAGAAATACTGGTTGCTGGCTTGCTCAACCTTTCTTGCAAGCCAGCCCAGGGGTAGCATCCTTTATAGTGAGCTGAGCCTTCCCACATCAATCATCAGTCAAGAAAATTATCACAAGCCAATCTGGTAGGGGCACTTTGTCATCTGAGGTTCCCAGTTGCAAACGACTTCAGCCTGTGTGAAGTTGACATAAAAACTAGTCAGTGCTATGTTTTCCTCAGTTGCTGTCCACCTTAGATTTTGAGTCACGGTTTCTCAATGAAGCTTAGAGCTCACTGAGGCAGCTCTATTGGCTGGCAACACAGCTCAAGGGTCTGTCTCTCTCCACCTGCTCCAGCACTAGGTTTGCAGATGGATCCTGCTGTGCTCAGGGTTTTGTGAGTGCTGGGAATCTGAGTTCAGGTCCTTGTGCTTAAAGACACTTAAAAATTAGAGAAACAGTCTTTGTGTATGAGTATATGAATAATAGGTGTTCATGTGTAGGTGCTCACAGAGACAGGAACAAGGCATTAGATCCCCTGAAACTAAAATTATCCGTGTGGGTGCTAGGAACTGAACCATGGTTCTCTTCCTGCAACCTGCCCCTGACTTGTTTTTAGTTATATTTGTGGTTAAAAATTTCTGCTTTGGCTTTATTATAGACATGTGTGTTCTTTGGTTAGCGTTCAAGCTAAAAGTGATAAAGAAAACAGAGGGAAGACTAGGTGAACAGTTAACCTGGCATGCAATAAGAAATGGTTGTTACGTGCTGCCGAGTCTGCATCTTTTCATCTCTGTAAAGAAGCCCCTTTGGAAAAACAAATAGAATTATAATTATTCTCTGGAACTTGATTTCCCTTATATTCAGTCTGTGATTGAGTGAAATAAATTGCTATAAATCTGTAGACAATCTGAAATAACTAAATTTTAGTCAGATGATATTATTAGACATTAAGAGTGTTCTAGGAGGATGAGGAAATGAGTCAGTACGTAAGAACATGGTCTGCACCAACCATAAGGACTTGAGTTCCAGTTCCCATTACTCCTGTAAAAAGTACAGCATGCCATGCATGTACCTGAACTCAGAGTTGTAAGGTAGAAATGGGAGGATTTCTGGGGGTTGTTGGCTAGTATCAGGTTCAATGAGAGACCTGGTCTCAAAGGAATAAAGCAGAAACTGGTAGGACATCCCTTGTCTTTGTTTCCCCTGTATACATGCACTGGCACATGTCCATATAGGACACACATGCATACATACACAAGCATAGCACCCAGGGAGTTGTGAACAATATGTGAATGAGTAGGAAGGAGTGGTTTGAATTTGGCTTGCAGGCTATGATTCTCCAGATAACGGTTTAAAACAGAGTGGGAACATTTGCCAGTTACTAATTACCAACCTAGATTTGTGAGCTGAAAGCAAAGCTGCTGGATCTCAAAAATAGCAATTTTAAATGAAGGGTTGTTTTATTATAACAAGGGTATTAAAGACTATAAGAGAGCTAGGAGGTGGGTGGTATGTGTCTGCAATTCTAATATGTGCTGAAGTAGGAAGACTTGAGTTCAAAGCCATCCTGGATTGTACATCAAGTTTAAAACAAACCTTGGCTACAGTGAAATGAGACTTCCACATCCATCATAGCTTAGTCCTGGGAACATGATTGACATTTACATGGGTGTTTAGCTATTATCCCCCCCCCACTTTGTCTTTTCAGTTTTTTTTTTTCTTATAAATGTTTGGCTTTAGCTTGCCTTATTTTTGGGGGGGGGGTACAACTTTGAGTTTTTAATGGAGACTTAATTGCAAAATCTTGATTGAAGAATGGACAGCTGTGTCAAATATGATTGTACAGAAAGGGTTGCCAGCAAAGGCCCCCTCTGAAATAGGGGGCTTAATCTATAAGATAAAATAGGCTTAAAAAAAATCTTTAAGGCTGGGCGTTGGTGGCGCACGCCTTTAATCCCAGCACTCCGGAGGCAGAAGCAGGCAGATCTCTGTGAGTTGAAGGCCAGCCTGGTCTACAGAGCAAGTTCCAGGACAGGCTCCAGGCTCCAAAGCAATACAGAGAAACCCTAACTTGAAAAACAAACAAACAAAAAAGGGGGAAGGTAATGTAATGTTAGTTTCTGAGACTGACCTGGAAGAAGAAAAGTTCCGATTTCTATTGCTTGAGCTGGGAGAGGTAAGAACTATGTATAAAGTCAGAATATATTTAACATGGGGAAGTTGTGAGTGATAAAGGGATAAATAATGTGAGAGATAAAACAGAAGAAAGCATCCGTAGTGATTTCTAAGTTTTACATTTGTATGGCAGGACAAATGGTACCTGTTGTCTCAGTTACTTTCCTATTGCTGTGAAGAGGTGCTGTGACCAAGGCAATTTACAAAGGCATTTCATTGGAAGCTTGTCATGGTGGGGACGTAGCAGCAGGCACACATGACCCAGGAGCAGAAACTGAGACTTTATATCGTACCTGAAAGTTGGAGGCAAAAAGAAAGATAACTGAAATGGCGTGGGCTTTTGAAACCTCAAAGCCCACCTCCAGTGATACACCTCCAGCAAGGCTACACCTCCTAATCCTTCCTAAACAGTTCCAACAACTGGGGACCAAGTATTCAAACATATGAGTATATATAGAGGCCATTCTTACTCAAACTACCACACCAGTCTGAAAGAAGGACCTCCTGTGATTCCCTAGGAGAAACTGCTTCTAGAAGGAAGGTCATGAATTGGATTTGGTATGCTGAGTGGAAGATAGATACATTGAATACCCATGGGGAGGAATTCGGATTAGAACTCAGAGGAAAACCTAAGACTGAAAACAAATATGGGACTCTGGCATATTGATGTTCATTAATGTTGTAAATGTTTGACATTTCATAGGAGTACAGCATGCTGGTGATTAGTAAGCAAGTAAAGTATAATAAAGTAGAGGAAATCTAAATTAGCAGTTTTCTTCTGCTCGGGTTGACATTTCTGTCATCATGCTGCATAGTAAGTAGCACATAACAAATATGTACAAGATGTCGTATCTCACGTAATCTAATTAGACAGAAAAAGTACACAGAAGATTCCTTCCCAAATCACTGTTCTGTCAGTAGGCAAACCAGAACTTCAGCCATCCTATTTCTTTTTCTTTATTATCTTTACAATTTTAATGTCTGTCCCTTTTTTCTTTTGTTCATTCTGTTTTTTTCAGTCACTGTTTATTACCTAGTCTGGTCCTTTCATCAGATTTTCTGCTACCTTTCCTCTGATATGATTGGGACACAGTGCTCTTTGCTCAAAAAAAGAAAAAAAAAAAAAAATCCCTTATGAAGAGATGCCTTCCTCTCTTGGGGGGGGGGGGGGGGGGGCAGTGGGAGGTGGAGAGGTGCCTTGGTCCAGCCTCAATGAGATGTTGGGACAGACTTAGCAGACTTCCTAGAGAAGGCCTTACCCTCTCTGAAGAGCAGATGGAAGGTAGGGGTAGTGGGAGAAGAGGAGGGAAGGGGGAACTGGGATTGGAATGTAAAACATGAGTTAATTAAAAAAAACAAAACAAAAAAAACCAAAAACAACTCCTGAAGCTTTAACATCATTACTAAATAGATTTCAGACTTCTAGACTTCTGGGTGTGGTATTTCATGACTTCCATTAAATGTGGTGTGTGTGTGTGTGTGTGTGTGTGTGTGTCTTTTACAATGAAATTCATGTTTGTTGACTGGATTGTAGGTACCTTACTAGTAGCTACCACTGAAGAAAATTGTCTTAGCATCCCCCCATCAACTATTAACTGCATAGAATCCCCAAAGACTTCCCAGCCTCTCTTTTGTCCATTATAGGATGTTACAGCTAAGTCTCATGGAGAGCTCTTGTAGCAGCCATGTTATGCTTGGGAATCAGCATGTCCACATCCCCCTGCTCCCAGCTCTTAGGCTCTTTCCCGCCCCTTCTTCCATGACCCCTAAGCTTTGTGTGTGTGTGTGGGGGGGGGTGATATAGATGTCTTATTTGTGGCTTAAGCACTCAACAATCACTTATTCTCAGCATTTGGACCAGTTACAAGTCTAGTTACTGCTGACTACTGTGAAAAGGTTCTCTAACAAAGCTGACAGCAGCTCTACGGACATGAACATAGTGATATAAAAGGCAGTTTAACAGGTCCATCCTGTCCTTCATGAATCTTTGCTAAGAAACTTTTTTGAAATGTTAAACTTTTCCCACTTACTAAATTTGATTTTTCTCTCTTCATTAATGCAGCTCTCAAGAGGCAAAATTTATACAATAATCCTTTCAACTCTATGAGTTATACAAGTCCTTATAGCCCAAATGCCAGTAGCCCTTACAGCAGCGGTTTCAATTCTCCGTCCTCAACACCAGTGCGACCTCCTATAGTCAAGCAGCTTATACTTCCTGGAAATTCAGGTAAGGAGTGGCTTTACCTAATGCTCAGAAAGGAACAATTCATCCTAGGTTTAGGCTCATTTTGTTTAGGAAACCCTGAAACACTAAGAGAGACTCTCTTGGATGTGCTGTTTATGCTAGTTCCTCTACTGAGTGCTGAGGGCACCAAGTTAAGTCAGTGGCTATGCATTCTCTGCATATCATTTTCTTTGCATTGTACCTAAATGTGGCTTTTAAATTAGTACTTAAATCTGGTTAAATTAAGCAGAACTACACACTTGATTCTTTTAACCAATAAAACCGCATTTATATCCTGTTAGAGTTGTAAAATCTACAGACCTGTTTTTAAAAGAGTTTTAGTGAGCATGGTACTACAGTTAAATCATAGCATATGATTTAATATGATTAATGTGCATATGGCCCATCTGTGCCAAGGGCAGTAGGTGCTGTAAAAGACAGGAGGAGGACAGACTGCTGTGACTTGCATGTCTCTTCTGTTCCTGTTCTGCTACTGACACTTTTCTTGAGTAGCTTAGTCTTTGCTAACTTACTGCCTTCTTATATACCTCTAAGTGTAGCTTTCCTCGAAACTGTGTGATGTATAGTTGTGAATTTGTGCATGTGTGTGCATTACATGGGGAGTCCACAGGTTGACATCAGGTGTCTCTTCCTTTTATTTTCCACCTTAGTTTTGAAATAGGGTCTGACCTGTTTATAAATAGGTTTCTGAGCTCCAGAAACCCACCTGCCCATCAGGCCCTTGTGCTGGTTTATAGACTCTGCTGCCCCTAAGTGGTATAATCAGCAATAGGATCTGACCTTTAACCTCTAAGAGGCAACCAAGAGCAACAGCAATTATTTTGGGAGTCACTTGAATTACCCTGACCAATCATTTGAAAGGAAGTTTCTTGTACCTGGTACTGGAATTTTGTTAGTTTTTGGTTCCTGTAAGGGAACATTGTTAGCTTAAGTGGCAAAACTTCCTTTATCAAATAACCTTGGTGTTGTCTGCCCTCCCTTTCTTCTTCTGTATTGATGTCCCTCCCCATGCCTAGTTGGAGCCCTTCTTCTCCATTTTTCCCTCTGTGTATCATCTTTCATTCCCATCTCTAGAACTCCCCGTACCCATGGTTCCATTATACTTTACTGATTTTTCTCAGTGACTCCATGTTTCACATCTGAAGCTTTGGAACCAGGAATGGCAGATGGGAAAACATGTACCATTTGTCACTCAGGGTCTGAGTTACCTCACTCAATATGTGAATCTTTTCTAGGGCCAGATATTTACCTGAAAATTTCATTTTTATAGCTGTATAGTAACCCATTATATATATGTACCACATTTTCATTATTCATTCACCAGCTGAAGGACATTTAGGTTGTTTCATTTCCTGGCTCTTGTGCATAGGGCAGCAATGAACATAGCTGAGCAAGTTTTGCAGAGTAAAATGTTAAGTCCTTTGGGCATAGGCCAAGGAATGATATGGCTGAATCATATAGTAGATTTAATTTTAGTTTTTGAGGATTATCCATACTGATTTTCAAAGTGGCTGCACCCTCAAATTTATACTCCCACCAAGAGTGACTGAGGATTCCTCTCTTTATCCATGATTTTGCCTGTATTTGTTATGTTTTGTTGATCTTAGTCATTCTGAATGGGGTAAGATGAAATCTCAAACTTATTTTAAATTTGTCTTTCCCTGATTGCTAAGGATAATGAATATTTTTTGAGATATTGTTTAGCCATTTTGATTCTTTTTATTATGAGCACTCTGTTCAAATGCCTAGCCCATGTTTTAATTGGGTCATGTATTTCCTTCATTCTGATTTTTGAGTTCTTTGTATGTCCTGAATATTTAATCTTCTATCATGAATGGCTGGCAGAGATTTTCTCCCATTCTATAGGGTTCTTCTTGCCTTTTTTTTTTTGTTTGTTTGTTTTTTGTTTGTTTGTTTGTTTTTGTTTTTTTGTTTTTTAGCTCTACAGGAACTCTAGTTTCTTTTGTTGAGGTTTGCTTGCTTATTTGTTTTTGAAGTGTTTTTGAAACAGGCTCTCTATGCAGCCCAGCTGTCCTGGACCTCAAGGCTGACCTTGAACTCACAGAGATCCACTTGCTTCTGCTTCACAAGTGCTGGGATTAAAGGCATGTGTTACAATGCCCCGCTTACTTTTTAGTTTTATAAGGTCCCATTTGTCAATTGTTGGCCTCAGTTGCTGGACAGAAGGGTCCTATACAAAAAGTTCTTTCCTACACTTTCAGCTTGTAGGATATTGCCTATGTTTTCTTGTAGCAGTTTTAGTATTTCGGGTTTCAAATTGAGGTCTTTGATCTACTACTAACTAGTTTTTGTATGGGATGATAGATAAATGTCTACTTTCATTCTTCTGTGTCTGGACATCTTGTTTTCCCAGCACCAGCTGTTAAAAGATGCTGTCTTTTCTCCTGCATGTGTGTTTTCCTCTTTGTCAAATATCAGATGGCTGTTGTTATGAATAGTCATGTTTGAGTCTTCTATTTTATTCTGTTGGTCTGCACATCTGGTTTATTGTATTGTCTTTATTATTTTTAATATAGCTCTACTGTACCTTGAAGTCTGGAATGGCAACCCATTCAGTATTACTCTTTTCGTTTAGGGTTACTTAGGCTATTCAGGGTCTTTTCTGGTTCTATATGAATTTTAGGATAGGTTCCTCTTTCTGTTAAGGATGTTGTGGGTATTTTGGTTTGTATTTTATTGTTGGATCTGTAATTGCTTTTAGTAGGATAGCTATTTTTACCATAAGAATTTAACTGATCCATGAACATAGTGTCTTTCTCAGTTTCATTCACAAATATGAAGGTTTTTGTTGTGCAAGTTTGTCACCTCCTTGAATAAGTTTGTTTGAATATTTTATTGTTTTAATGCTTGTGTGAATGGGAGTGTGTCCATGACATCTTTCTTAATATGTTTGTTGCTGGTATATAGAAAGGCTACTCCTTTTTATAAATTTATTTTGTCCCTGGTCAGTTTGCTGAAATTATTAATTGTAGAAGTTTTCTGGTCAAAATTTTTGGGATCTCTTATATATAATGTCATATTATCTGCAAATAGGAATATATTTAACTTCTTATTTATATCATTCTAATTTCCTTCTCTTGCCTATTGCCTTATTGCTTTGGCTAGTTCACAGGTTGAGCTTGTGGACTTCTCTCTTTGCTTTTGTGTCCAGTGGGATTGATAATCTGGCCAGTGCAGGAAATGTATGATCTGAGCTAGGTAAAAGTGGTAGATGAGCTGTGTAATTGACCTTGCAAAGATGGTCTCCAAACCATGGGTCTGGAACCAGGGCTCTTGAGTGTGGAAATGGCAGCAGGCAGAAAAGGATGAGAGAGGAAAGGAGGGTCAAAACTGGCTCTCCAGAGAGTAGGTTACTGATCTGGAAGTACACCTGTGGTGTGGAGGTGGCTTCAGACAGAAGGGTAAAGATGGGGGATAGGAAAGGGATTCGGCTACTTATTGGTTAAGATGGTTCCCAGACAAAGAGAGCTCTCAGGCATGTCTAGAACTATGCTGTGTAGAGTTGACTATAATGGTGAAAATTTTGGGGAAACTAGATGGGCATGATATAGTATATGCCTGAGGCAGGAGGATTAGAAGTTTGAGGCTAGCCTAGTCTGCATAGCAAGTTCAAGGATCATTTATATTACAAAGTAAAACCTGTGCTTAAAAAAAAAAACATACATACATACATACATACATATATACATACATACATACATACATACATACATACATACATACAAGCTACAGGGCTGGAGAAATGGCTCAGCAGTTAAGACTGCTCTTCCAGAGGACCCTTGTTGAATTCTCGGCACCCACATGGCGTCTCACAGTTGTTTGTAACACCAGTTCTAAGGGACCCTACACCTTCTCCTAGACATACATAAAGACAAAACACTAATGCACATAAAATAAAAATAAATAACAATAAAAAATTTTAAAGCTACAAAGTATGGTAGGTAAATCAGTCTGTATTAAACACATTAGTGGGAGTGTTGAGCTTTTTATTGCTTCTTCAGAGAAACAGGTCACCATGAAGAGTGTTCCTTGAGATACATGCTAGGTTCCTGCTGCTAGTGTATATTCCCTGTCCTGCACAGTTTTCTGTCCTTTTGGTTTAGGCGATAGAGTACTTTTTAAAAATCTACTCATTTTCTTTAAAAAATCTACTCATCTCTTGTACTTCACTGCCAAACATCACAACATCCTGATCCCCATTTCTAATTTGGTAAGCATGACATCATGCAGGACAAATTAACCGAGTGTCTTTTTTTTTTTTTTTTTTTTTTTTTGTTGGTTGGTTGGTTCTTAAATGTCTAAGAAATCTACTTTTTTCAAATTAGTTTTGTTTAGGAAAGTAAATTTTTTCTTCAAGGAAAAGATTGCTGTGCTAATGGCTGAATTTGAGAAAACATTTACTTACAGAATGGCTTTCCTGAGTATCGTGCAAAAGATGAAAGCCTCTAACCCAGTGGTTTTCAACCTGTGGATTGTGACTGCTTTGGGCAGCAGTTCTCAACCTATTGGTTGTGACTCTTTTGTGGGGGTCTTCTAAGACCATCGAAAACATGGATATTTACATTACAATTTATAACAGTAACAATATTACAGCTATGAAGTAGCAGTGAAGCTAATTTTATGGTTGGGGTCACCACAACATAAGGAACTATATTAAAGGGTCACAGCATTAGGAAGGGTGAGAACCACTGATCTACCCTGTAGTTGCTGAATCAGCTGCTTTTCAGGCACTGGATGAAAGTTATAGTTATGGGAAATGAGATGAGTTATACTTAAAAGATGTTTTGTATTTGTGACAAAGTATGCAAAGGAGTCTGGGTAACCCTTCTCCCTAATGAGGTCAGTTTCTAATTTCACTTTTTGAGAGTTTTATACATGTAAACGGCAGAATAAAACTGAATCAAAGGATGAAATTATTTGGCTACTTGCAACAGTTATTTAACTCAGCTTTTCTCTTACCAAGGTTTGATGTGTTTTCCTTTTCTAAAGGTAACTTCAAAAGTTCATCAGATAGAAATCCTCCACTCAGCCCTCAATCCTCTATAGATAGTGAGTTAAGTGCTTCAGAATTAGATGAAGATTCAATTGGATCCAACTATAAGCTAAATGATGTAACTGATGTGCAGATTCTAGCCCGGATGCAGGAAGAAAGTAAGTTTTAATTGTTGAAAGTTGGGATTTTTGTTAATACACAAGTTTGTTGTATATACTAAATTTATTGTATGTATTTTAAAGTATTAAAAATATGGTGAAAGTATAAATGTTGAGGTAGACGTTTCATTAGTATTTGCTTTTAAGTCTTATTTTATATTAAGACAACTTTGCAGTTGGAAGGACACAGAAAGGCATATTTGGCTCGGCTCCTATGAATGGTATTCATACCCTGTACAGTCTGTATTGGCTCTTAGCATTGTAATTATTACTCTGTGTCTTTTAGTGTGTATTTAATGGCCCCCAAGGGAGACTTTTTACCTTTTCATTTACTACACTTTGAAATTGTAATACCATAGTTATAGTGTACACCTGTCTAAGTACTATAAGAGCCCCAAACTACTATGTTATCTAATGTCTTTGTTGCCTCTGGCACCCCTAAAATATACACAGACAAAAATTTTTCGTACTTTTTGAGGATGTATACCCTGGCTCTTCGAATGCAAGAATGTGGTTGTGGTGCTATTCTTGTTACACAGTAAACTACAATGTGATCCCTGTAACCTTTTCAGTGAATTACATGTCAAGAGTCTGGACAGTGGCTGAGCATCTGGAGTGTTGCTAAAACTTTAAGAGCGTTTGGTTGCACCGTGTGCATGATGTGTCTTGTCAAATATGTTGTGGGAAACTGCAGAATGTTTCTTAGTCTACTGAATCATTTCCACTTTAGTATGACCCCCCCCCTTAGAAAAAATGAAGAGCTTCATGCTGCCTGGATTCATTAGCCCCAAAACCCTAGTGGCACAATACAGTTTTCTTTGACTTTTATCTCTCTCACGGAGTTGGCAGTGGAGTCATAAGAGGCTGGAAAGAGAATGCTGCCTAATTCCACACCATAGAATAAACTCAGTTTTTACTTTGGATGCTGATTTCTCTGGAGGAGCTCAGCAAACTATTTATTTACTGTAGCTTTGGTAACAAAAAGAAATTTTAACTTTATTCTAATTTAGTAGTTCTTGTAAGACATTCACACACAAAAATATTTCTTTTCAGAGTAAATAAAAAGTTGTTACCAAACACCCATGCTACGTACTTGAAAATATCTTCCTTCCCTCCTTTTTTAGTTTTACACCATGGCTCTTCTAATATTTGTATATAATATTAAAAATTAGAATTACATATTTGGTCAATTACATACCTGGTCAAGTGTCTTAGTTTTTACAGTGAAAAGTACAAAATCCTTGGTGACTTGCTCAAAGCTCTCTTTTGTTACTGGAGAGGATGCATTGGGCTCTGACTTCCATTTCTAAAACAATGTTCTCTATTGCTTTGCTGACTTCTCTTATTGCTATTTGCTGTAGCTAGACAATAAGTAACTCAGTTACTACTGCACTTCCCAGGCCTACAGGGCTACATAAACCTAGAAGTTCTAAGGACTTGGAGGAGTTACTTGTTCTTTATTTTGTAGTTTATGGAGATTTACCCTGTGTGTCCTCTTCACTGAACTACTTCTCCAAGAAGTTGTGGCCTTAAAAGATGCTTTAGCTCTCACCCCTTCAATAGCAGTTTCTGTGCATAAGAAATGGCATAAAGGTCTATTCTGACTGTAAGATCCTTTCTAGTGGGTGCCAGTAGCTAGCAGTACTTGCTGTCGATGTACTTAGATTCCTTCCTCTCCCATTATAACTTTAAAAGTTTGTTTGCTAACTAATATATTCTGTTTATTGCCTACATAATAGTTCTCCCTCAGAGTTTCTTCAATCCAAGTTTGGGTTTCTTCTGTGTTTAGAGTAGAGCTGGTTTTTTGTTTGTTGGTTTTAATTTATAGCTTTATCTTCTTAGACTCTGATTCAAGAAGTTTTGAACTTAAAACAAATACTACATTTTCATTCAGTTTAAAAATAACTTTGAGATGTAGTTTATATATCTTTATATAGAAGGATGTCTAGAAGTAGAAAAGGAATTTTTCTTTGTACTTTACACCCTAAATTGGAATTTCTCAATAGTAATCATTTACTTAAATTTTTAAAATTATTTGAATGTCTGAAAATACAATCAAAGAAATTAATAATGCTTTCATTGTTGCTAGGTCTCCGGCAGCAATATGCAGCCACCACCTCTCGATGCAGTTCTGGTTCATCTTGCACTTCTACAAGGCGGGGCACTTTTAGTGATCAAGAACTGGATGCACAGAGCTTGGATGATGGAGATGATAGTATGCACCATGCAGTATACCCCGCTGTTAACAGGTTTTCTCCATCACCACGCAATTCACCCCCACCATCTCCCAAGCAGTCACCTCGAAATTCACCTCGTTCGCGATCTCCTGCCCGGGGAATAGAATACAGTAGAGTGTCCCCACAACCCATGATTAGCCGTTTACAGCAACCTCGCCTTTCCCTCCAAGGCCATCCCACAGATTTACAGACAAGCAATGGTAAAAATGAAGGTAAAATAGCAGACTTTGGGAATAAGATGTCCATATTTTAGAGTAAAAGGAATGCCCATTATTCCCCACATTTTTTTTAAGTAGTCAAGTTTAACATTTTATTAATGTATACATGAGGAGAAAGTGAATTTAACTTTATTAAACTAAGTACCTGCCAGTTAGCTACTGTGGATTTGCAAGCCAATTACAGGGCTAAGTGGTCATGTGGGATTTTTAAGGGATTTGCTTTATTTTACTCATGGGGTAACCTTTGCCTTTAGATTTGATTATATAATTTTGTAGTTTTCTTTAAGGGTGTTGTTATTTCCCATCCATTTATAGCCTCTGGGTTTTTTTTTTTTTTTTTGCATTTTCCTGTTACTTCTACATAGAGTACAGAAAAAATGTGCTTAAATGTATCATTCTAAATTAACTTAATATCTGAGATAATGGTTTGATTTTTATTATTAATTTATTTAAAATCTCATGTTTTTTTAGAAAAACTAGACGCAGTCTTGGCCAAACCTCGAACATCAAACACGCCAGTTGACTCTGTGAAAAGTAGTAGAAGCCACTCCAATTTTCATGCCAATGGAGGAGTCCCTCGGATGCAGCCTCAGGCTTCAGCCAGTAAGTCCATCCATCCCAACACTTTGAAATGTCATTCAGGGACAGGAAATGAAAACTATACAAGCTGATTTTGGTACTGAATAACTTCATAATAAACCATTGTCACAATATGATTCTGTATAGCCAGTAGGTTAGCTCAGCCGATAAAGGCATGATGGCAAGCCAACAACCTGAATTAGATACCTGGAACTCACATGATGAAAAGAGAAACTGATGTCTAACCTCTATACCTGTCCTCAGTGGATGCAGCCCTCCTACCTGCCAGTAACTAAATACAGATTTTTAAATAGAAAATCGAGTAAAACAAAAAGATAATATTGTGGTAAAATTTAAAAATTGCTTCTTCATAGGCTACTTAATTCTAACCAGTTTTTCTAATTTTTTGACACTCTCTGTGGTTTCAACTTCCTCTTTTTACCAAAGATCACCTTTATTTTATTTTTGTTTTTTAGTTTTGAGACAGAGTTTCTCTCTGAATAGCCTGAAAAGCTGTCGATGAACTCACAATGTAGATCAAGCTAGCCTTTAATTACACAGAGATCCTCCTGTCTCTGCACCAACACATGATGGGATTAAAAGTGTATACCACTATTCCAAGTTACATATTTTGTGTGTAATACCATGTAATTTAAGGGTCTTAAAGAATATATGTATTGTGCTACCATAGAATTGCCTGTATTTAACATAATTATTGTTACAAAATAAAAAGTCAAGCATTTATTACAAATAAGTATTGAATACAAAAAAATTCTAGTCACTTTCAAGGGGATGGCTTTGCTTTTATTTTATAGAAAGTAAGCAGTACCGCTACCCAAGTCTATGTCCTATAAAATAGATTTTCTTTAAAAATCTTCGTTTTTAAACTTTTCTAGAGCTGGAGAATTAACTCATTGATAATACTTGATGAATGTGTATGATGCCCCTGGATTTTATCCCTACTGTCACAAAAGTCAAATAAAATTAAAATTTACTATTAAATAGTTTAGGCTATATCATAATAAAGGTAATTGGTTGTTCAATAATACAGTCTATTAATCTATAACAAAACTGAACTTTTGGCTTTTCTTCTAAAAGTCTTTTATAAGGATTTGTACAATCTCACTTAATATCTGCATCTGTCCTATGAAGTTTTTAGTTTTCATTTGATTAAATTATGTCTGTGAGATACATTTGTAAATATGAAGTATAATATTTAACCAATGTAAATGTCAGATTAATATGTATTCCTAATTTGACTTATAATATGGAATTAAAATTTGAGGTAATAAGTTGTCAAAGCTATCACTTTTAAGAATTGATAACATTTATTTATTTAAATTGTTTGAGAATTCGCTATTGCATTAAATCTGAGCTTGACTAGGTCAAACAAATTTGAGATCTGGCCTGTTAGTTCATGCCTTCGGCTCGAGCACTCAGGAGGCAGAGTAAGCAAGCAGATCTGAGTTCCAAAGCCCACCAGGTCTCTGAAACCAGACCCAGATGCATGCTGACTGTAATTTTTTTTTATTTTTTATTTATTTATTTATTTTTTTTTTGGCGACTAGGAATGTGACAGGTCTTTCTTCCTGGAGGTAATTTTTCAATCTTTAGTTGTAATGTTAGCCTTTATTTGTGACAAGAAGTATTGTGACAAGGCATTTCTACTCTAGCATGATATATAAGATTCCTTAAAAGCTATTTAGATTGTTCAGTATTTTACATAAAAATGATGAGATTTTGGGGAAAGGAAATAGTACTGGAACCTAAAAAGCCCCGGAAGTTTTTTCATAGAGCATTAACAAAGCAGTAATGAGCTTCAGAGCGTAACAGCTGTAGTACAACCACACCAGTTCTCAACAAATAAAATGAATAGTGTCAGGATAATTTAATGGAAAGAAAGGAGTAAGACAGATGAATGTTAACAGA